GCAAGTTCCATCAAACGTGGAATTCGTTCAAAACAAAACATTTTGGTTCAGTCAGTTTGATTTGTGAAGATGAAAAGCTTTTGGGAGAACAGGAGTCTCCCAAATTCGGGTATGGCAATTGCATCTCCAACAACAAAACTTATTCTGACTGGGAGTGCCTCCCTGCCTCACCAGTTTACCAGTGCTAACCCCAGGTTTGTGACACAGTTTCTGGAGGCTGGGAAGCATAATGGAAATGAAATCATTTCATTATAAATGAACTGCAGCTTTTTTCCTAGGCCTAGTTAAAAGGACTGGAAAGAAAAAAGGTCTTTAATTGACTGTGTAAAGGTCTTGTGAGATATCCCAGACTTAGTCTGAAAATACTGGAGAAACATTGTGTGTGGCCTTTGGGAATGAAAACCTTCACTTATTAATTATTTTCCTTGGAGTTTCCCTTGTGGCATCGTTATGTGCTTCATTAAAGTAAACCAAGCATGAGTCTCCTTGGGAGATCAGGAGGGGAAGCCTGGTGAGTCAATCTACTGGGCTGTTCAAGTGCTGCTGGACCCTAATCTATTATTGACGGGAAACATAAGAATAATCATAACATTTAGAGGTCAGCTCCCTCCATCTCCAGGCTTTTCCTTCTTCAGCATTCCACTGTTTCCTCGCTGTCTCATGGTTGTGGGTAAGTGGATCGAGCTTTTTACAGGGCACAGAATGAGTTCAGTTAAATGAGGGGGAAATTTGGATTCCAGACTTCAGAAATACACCATGGATGCAGTGTATATCTTTCCAGATACACAGGAGCTGTTACTTCTTTTTCCTGATATCTTTTTCAGATAAAAGACCTGACTGGAGAGGCATTGGTGCCTTGTCTATCTGGTGGTAGTGGACAGATGGGTGCACTGCACCTTTGTCTTCTCCCTGGGATAAAACACTAATGCTGGAAGGACCAAGCTGTAGTTTTCCCCCCCCGCAGCTTCTCAAAGAAACTGGGGGTACAGATCAGTCATGTACCAGTTATGGCATCACTAGAGGGGGAAGGAGTATGAAACATTTGCATGTCAACACAGCTTCTCTACCCATTTCTATCAGCATTTTTTCACTGTGCTGCTGCCTGTATGGAATTGAGCTGCTGGAGCGAGTCCAGAGGAGGGCCAGCAGGTTGATCAGAGGGATGGAGAATGTCTCCTATGAGGAAAGGCTGAGAGGATGGGGAATATTGAGCCTGGAAAAGAAAAGGCTCTGGGGTGACCTAACTGTGGCCTTCCAGTACCTGAAGGGAGCCTACAAGAAATGTGGAGAGAGACTGGAGTGACAGCACGAGGGGGAATGGCTTCAAACTTAGAGCAAGTAGGTTTAGATTGGATATTGGGAAGGAATTTTTTTATTGTGAGAGTGGTGAGGCCCTGGAATGGGTTTCCCAAAGAAGCTGTGGATGCCCAATCCTTGGAAGTGTTCAAGGCCAGGTTGGGTGGGGCTCTGAGCAACCTGGTCTAATGGAAGGTGTCCTTGCCCCATGGCAGGGGGTTGGAACTAAATGAACTTCAAGGTCCCTTATGCTGCACTGTGGCCCTGTAATTTGTCAAATACAAGAGAACTTGGGGAACAAGTTCAAAAATAAAGGTTTCTAGACATTAGTCCCTCAAACCAAAGCATGTAGGTATAAACTTAGGTGTGCTTAATGAGAATTTCATACCATTACATGTCCAAAAATAGAGACTACTTCATGGAAAATGACTCCATTATCCCTCAGCTTGTATCCAGACCTGATGCCACTGGATCTGCTCACCTCACACCAGGACTGAAACACCATCCATTTCAGGCCTGGCTGCAAGCCATAAGCAAATGTGGCTCAACTGGTTGGTGTTCATTTGGCTTCCACCTGCCATGAGCACTGCACCCAGAGAACTGGAGACACACAGGCTGCTCACATCCTGGGAAAGCATTTTGTCAATGTTCTCAGGCACGTGGTGGAATTCTTGGGGCTGTGCAGGGCCAGGAATGGGACTCAATGACCCTTGTGGGTCCCTTCCAACTCAGGATAACCCATGGTTCTGTTCTTTGATGTCCTGGGATGTGCTCAGCCAGCTGCAGGCACACTTTCCAGCTCCTAACCTTGGGACTGAATTTCAGGAGTACAGATGCTGCTGGCCAACCAGGGTAGTGCTGTACCCCATTGTTCACCATCCCCCAGCAGTTCCCACCTGCTGTTCCTCTGCAGTTGTGTTCACCCCTCTCCCTTTACTGAAGTGCAGCAGCTGAGGTTGAGTAGTGTCTTTTAACTGTATTTCCCAGTCCTTGAGGGAAATAACCTGCACTGAACTTGCTTTATATAACAAGACTTATCTCTCATTCTCAGATTTTCCTCTACCTTCCTCATACCCAACTCTGAACGGACAGAAGGCAGCAAAGACAGCAAGGGACACTTTTTCAGCCTACAACAGCAAATACCTCACTGTCCCTCACAACAGGACTTCCCTGCACAGCAGCAGGACCAGCGGAGCTCTGGAAGCACAAACGGTGTCCCACAGCAGCTCTGTAAGTAGGATTTAATGTTCACTGACTTACCTCAGATGCCTTTGAGATGAGGAGAGGCCTGAAGCAGGGTGAGCAAAGCGTGGTGCACTCCTCCTATGTGTTAATCAAATCTACCCAGAGCTGGGAAATCGACTATAACAGTAAATTGATAGTGCAGCCCAGGTGGTTCAGTTGTCTCTCTCAGTGTACAGGAAGAACTAATTGCTGCAGCAGTAATCTCACCAAGCTTTTCTTAGTTGTTTGCCTTAGCCAAAGTTCTTCAGAGCAAGAAAAGGGGGTTGCCATAACTTCTAGTGTAGGATGAGGTTTGCAGGTTGATGACTAAACTGGGTGTTTGTGTGCAAACTCTGAGCCAGCACGTGCCCAGGGGTCAGTGGGGGCTGGATTGCAAGGTGGAAATGCAGTGTGGCTGCAACCTTCAGAGCAGAGTTTTTGTTAGAGGAGGCACCTCTTGGGGTGTATTTGTAGTGAAAAATTGGCTATAAGAGGACCAGAATAAAATCATCATGAAGTGCCAATCCTACCTTTCCTATTTCTTATTGCTTTGTTTGAAGGCTTCTTGTCTCAGAAATGTCACGAGAAGCAGTGAAAGTGAGACAGACCAAAGATAGTAATTTAAATTACCGTTTCTGACTTTTGCAATGGATGTGAGAAAAGAGGAGAGAAAGATCCTGATAGTTCCTTCAGTGGCATTTTGGAAAATTGCAACTTTTTTTGCGTTCCTCCCCAGTAAAGTCTTCTTGAGCCAGAATGTCACATGGTAAGGAAAGCAGTGCCAGTTTAGGGCCAGGAAACATCTTCACTAAAATCTATGGGAATTCTGATTTGCATTCTGTGCCCTGGACACCCAGAGTTGTGGGGGATGGCACTTTGCTGGCAAGAGGCGGGAAAAGGGACAAGAGAGAGGGCGAGAGAGCTGTTGTTGAATCTCTTCATCCTGCTGCTCTGTGTAACTCCAGCAACACCAGATGTTGCCATGGTGCTCTCTCAGGTGGCTGGGATGTGGCACAGCACGGTAATAAACAGGAAAACCTCTGAGTGACTTTTTACTTTCTCCAACCTCCTTGTTCCATCTCAACCTTTTTTTTTTTTTTCTTTTTTGGTGCATCTTGTTTCTGCCCACACTCTCCAATAAGGGAGGAGAGGACGCTTAGAGCTCATCTTCTCCAGAGCCAGCTAATGCACTGCCTTGTGCCAGTGGCCTGGTGGTGGTGACATCATTACTTTGGTGCTCTATAGCCTGAAACTCTCTGGGAGGGAGGCTAGAAATCTGCCTCCACAAGGAGGGTGTTTCTTCACTTTGGCAGAGATGGATCCAGGAGGTTTGCATGGACTGCCTGTGAGTACTACATGTAAATACATCTAATTAGGAAACGGAGAATGGCAATAAAATGCAGTTTTATATTCTACCAGAAAGTAGTGCTGAGTGTAAGTTTAGATGTACCTAAAGGAGCCACACAAAGTGTGTACACACAGTGTGTATACACATGAAGTGTATATACAGAAAGTGCGTGGTAAGGGTAATGTGCAGAACAGATCTTTTGGTGATAATTTTGTGAGAGAATGAAGGATGTAGTATGCATACAAAACCAAGATTCATTTAGTGATATGGTGACTGAGAGCTACTTTGTGGGAAACTTTTATATAGCACCTTAGAAAATTCGTGTTGTGGTAATAAATGAGAGAATTTCCATGCAGCATGCTTGGCTAACTTTGCATTCAGGACTGCCAGTGTTTGTGATGGAAGGGGAAAGAAGAAACCTATAACTGGTACCTGTCAAGATTTTGCCTGTGTAGCCACCTATGGGAACCAGAAATGTCTGGAATTAGATTGTTTTGGATCAGGCTGACCCTATTTGCTTGTATCTTGTTCACTAGCCACCTTGGAGAGCTCTGTGAAGGGTCTTGCACTACAGGACTGTGCTGGGAATGCTGGGTGGTACCAGTTTTGGAGAGCTTATGGGCTCCCTTAGTGAATGAGAAGTGCAAGTGAGTGCCCAGGTGTCAGAGTTCCACACGGGTGCTGCAGAATGGGCACGATGGCAGGGTCAGCTGACCTCCAGTCTGGATTTATCACAGCTATCATGGTCTTAAGCTGTGCTGGGGGAGGTTTAGGTCGGATATTAGGAAGGAATTCTTTCCAGGGAGAGTGATCAGACACTGGGATGGGCTGCCCAGGGAGGTGATGGAGTCACCGTCCCTGGAGGTGTTTAAGGACAGACTGGATGTGGCATCAGTGCCACGGTCTGGGAACCACGGGAGGGGTTGGATCAAGGGTTGAACTGGATGATCTCAGAGGTCTTTTCCAACCTGTTTGATTCCATGGTTCCGTGATTCACGTGCTTGTGTGGATACAGACCCCACCCCACCTTCTCCCCGGGCTTTTCTGATGTCTTGTCTGTGAGACTCCTGTGCTTCTCTCCCAGATTATCAACAACTACCTGGATGGGACGCAAGGAGGGGCCACGGACAAGGCATCTCCGAGCGGGATGCACTTCAGGGACAGCAAGAGGAAGGTGGACTACGTGCTAGCCTACCACTACCGCAAGCGCCCGGCGCGGCCCCCGCACGGGCTGGGCTCACCGGAGCGCACCCGCCCGTCCACCGCCCTGGGCCTGGTGTCCAACGGGACAGGGAAGGGCCGCGTGGAGGACGATGGCCAGCCAGCCCTGCAGGAGTGGCCGGGGCTGCCGGGGGTGGAGGGCATCGTGCTGAGCCCGCTGGACGCCCTGGAGGAGGAGAGGCGGCTGCAGCGGGAGGAGTACGAACGCAACCTGGTGGAAGCGGGGCTGGAGATAGAGAAGGACCCCGAGGTAAGAGGGGGAGGCTCGAGCCTCGTGCCTGGCACTGGGTGTCCCAGCGGGAATGGTCACTTTGGTGTCGGAGGCCGGCTGTGGCTTCATTCCTGCCTCACATCGGTGTTAACTCAGTGGCAAACCATGCCTGTGCCACTTCTTAAAAAAATGCTGCTTAAAAACATCTCTTTAACGTAGCTTGAAAAGAAATATATTTTAGATATCTCTTAAAAACAGCTGCTTCCCCCATGGCACATCCTCGCTGGTTCCCACACCGTCATTTCTGCAGCCACAGAAAGTGTGAGGTGTGCTGGAGATGTCTCATGGCCAGCTTGAGGAGCTGGTCCTGAGGACAGGCTGTGACTGCTGAACAGTGGTTCAGTACTGACTATCCCCAACGAGGGATCTCCAGAAATACCTTGCCCATGCTATTAAGTATATATTATGTATTTTATATGTGTTACATATGTTATTTATACATGCCTAAAATACAGTGTGAAGCCAAGAAGATGCCAGGGTTGTTTCTGTGTTGCTTGAGTTCTTACTACCTGAAAAAAACCTGGTTCTTATAGTTGTTTAATGTGCTGTTAAGTAGCAATTTCAATCTTACTTCAGCACAAAACCTATTTCTTTATCTATTGTTCTTGTGGCATGCAGCAAACACACTTTTCTTATATATATATATATAGAAAATATTTAAATATGGATAAAAATGAAGAAAATATCTCTTCAGTACTTTGCTGGAACACAAAGCACTGACACCTCATATTTCCTCAGAATAACTCAGTGATTTTCAGCGTGACTCTCGATTTTCTTTTCAGCCGTATGGAGGTTCTGTGTCCTTTCTTTGATCCATCCAGGTAATGAACAGCTCCTGTGCTGCAACAGGAGAACCTCCCAGACTCTAATGTTCTTATTCTCCCACATACATGTGCCTGGTGTTGCCTGGATCTGTGGCCATGTCAGCTGGGAGCTGTGGTTGGGTTACTTGGGCAGAGGTCTTCCAAATCCCACGTCGTTGCACTGAGTGCTGTGCTCTCCCGCTGCACCTCTTGGAAAGCCGTGGATATTTCCATCTGCTGGAAGTCCCTGCTGGGTTCTGGTTTTAGGTGCTCTATTGCGTTGTTACACCAAATTTGAGTAACTTAGGGCTTCTTTGCAGAGGTGCTGAGAACTTGCAGCTCATGTTGCTTCCCGTGTGTCCAGTCAGCACTTCCAAAACGTGGAGCAAATCACAGGTCACGTCTGAAAATTTGAGTCCCACTGGCTTGGCACAGTGTGTGTGCATGTTAAATCACTGGCAGGGATAGAAAGAAATAGAAAAGCCTTTTGACTCTTAGCATTTTCCTTGTTTAATTGGCTGAGTTGCAGGTGGCTCTGGGTTGGATTTCGCTGCACAGCCTGGCTAAGCCATCCTTGCACTGAAGAGACAAAAGTGATCTCAGATCCTGGTTCTTTTATACTGAACATTTGGGTTATGGTTCAACACATGACTGTCTTGCTGCTATGATTTTTATAACCAAGTTTCATAAAACCCATGAGAAGAGCCGTTTTTGGAGACTTCTTTCAGTTCTGAATTTCATCAGACCCCAAAAAGTCTAGCAGGAGATTTGGATCTGATTATTTGACTCATTACTTACCCGAAGTCCAGCTGGATGCAGATTCTGGTTCAGCTCCTTTCCAAGTGATGACATATGCTCTTAAATAATATACAAAGTGATAAACGATGTCGTAGAGTGTTGATCAAGAAAAAAACCTTTTGTCACAGTTTTCCTCATGAAGAGTGAAATGCTTTTTGTAAACGAACTGGGAAGTTCTCAGGAAACTATTTGCTGATCAGTTCTTTAATGAGAGAAAAACTGACTGACTTTAAAAATCACAAAAAGTGTAATTCCATCACTTCTCTAACTGTGTATGCACAGAGTCACTGCTGTGCCCTCCCTTTGCCTGTCCCAGCACATAAGCTGGCTAATCAAAAGGGGAAAGAGGTTTTTTTACCTCCAGAATCTCCCGAGAATACTGGAAGGGACTATGCATTATCCTTTTTCTTCCCTGCCCCTGACATGTGGCTTTTACTTCCTTTTCTTTTTCTCACTTCACTATTGTGTTCTTTTCTCCTGTTAGTTAATTCCTGTTGGAACGTGCTGAAGGTTCTTGCTGTGAATTTCACAGAAAATGCTGATTAGGAGCATGTGAAGGGGACAGCTGGCCTTATATGTTGATTAAAATTGCATGTTGAGCTGATATGAGAACAACTTCTGATTTTATTCGTGGGAAAAATATGTGTCTATAAGTTCATTAAACTCAGAACAGCCTTAAAACACCAGGGTTTTGGGTTTTATTTTTGTTTTGGAATAGTGGGAATTTCCATGATGACTGTAAACATTTGGTGTTACTATGGTTGTTATATGCTAAATAACTACTGACAAACATCTTTCTCATTTGTATTGCCAATTCATTGTGTTGAAGAATAGAGAAAACAAGTGAAGGTATATAATTTGTGTGTGGGGAGAAGTGGATTTCTCTTTCTTGAAGTAGTGAAAAATAAGATTATGGTCTGTCTCTATAACCACCCAGTTATTATTGGTGAATTAAGGACTTTTGGACTAATTTTTCAACTTCCTAATAACTTTCTATCATTTGTCATTGCTGTCCTTTAGAGAAACTGTTTTCTCTTAATACAATTTTTTGTTTGTTTGTTTGTAGTGGGGTTTTTTGTTTTGTTTTGTTTTTCCCCCTTTTTTAAAGTGAGATTATATTTTCTATGTCCAAGGCAAAGTGCACAAGTAATGGGCTTGAAGTTGAAGGTTACAACTTGTTCCTCTCTTGTGTGGAGTTGAATACTCCTAATGAGGCTGTCTGTCAGGGTCCAGAGGTGGTAGATGAGGTTCAAGTTGCTCAAGACAAGCAATTTGGTTGGTTATCTCTTCAAATCAGAATATTTGGATGGTCCAGTGTTGTCTGTGCCCATGAAAACAACTGGATAAGGGAAATTTAGGGTTATGTGGAACTGATATTTGGTGGAAAGAAGAGGAAACTCCCTCCTGAATGTACCCCAAATGTGCCTTCAAGAATTCCACCTCGATTCCCAGCAGAGGCAATAAATACCCTGGATATTGCAGGCAGTTCTTGGAATTGTTTATTATCTTTTGGTTATCTGTTCCTGGGGAAGCTGTTGTGTTTCACCTAACGTGGAGCACCAGCAATTCCCTTAAATTTGAATTGCCCTGCTGCTTTAATGACTGCAAATGCAGCATACACTGTATTCAATTACTATTACTTATGGCAAAGCATTACAAAGAATAAGAGGAGGCTGGAGATGCAGCTTGGATAATTTTTGAGCACATTGAAAACGATTCTATGATTCTAAATGGGCTTTGCTAAAAAGCAATTAGGAAACGAAAAATTACTTCAGGGGGAAGGTGATGACGGTTCTAAAACGAAGTGTAAATTACTCTCCAAGAAAGTCATTTAATCTGAATTTTAGAGCTGGCAGCGTTTTGAAAACGCCTCATTAAACTTCCTTCATGGCATTACACTTCAAGGGAAGGAAGTCCTTAAGGTCCTCAGTGTGTCAGCTTGTGCAGCACTGTTAATAACACTACTGATGGTGATGGTTGTGGTTGGATTTTTCTTCTTCATATTCCAAGGTGCGGTTTCGAACTTCTGTGGGGAAAAAAAATGGGCAAACTTAAAAACCAAACCTGCCAAACACCCCCCAACCTGAACCAAAGAAGTGCTTATAGTGCTGCAGCTACATTTTATTTTTGGGATTAAATTTACACTGTTTTGTCGTACTAAGGTGCTCCCCATTTCTCTGTGGGAAAAGGCTTTGTCTTTTGCCAGCTGTAAAGGAGTAAAGTAGCCAAAATAATATAATAGATAGTCCTTAAATTAGTAGTAATTAAAAACCTCAAAAAAAAGAGTGATGTCTTCTTCCCAAATCAATGTGATTTTTGGATAATCCCAATAAAAACATCTCATGCCTTTACTACATGAGGCATCTTTCACCTGTACTCAGGGTGAAAGTTGTAGTTGTCTCAAAATATTAAATCCTGTAAAGTGCAGAGGTAATCTTAATATTAACTAACATTAATCTTAAAAGGGTAGGGAAATTTAATAGAAGTCCAAGTTAATGGACTTATATTTATTATTTATATTTATATTTATAATTTATATATTTTTATTATTTATTATTTTATTATTATTTATTTTATATTTATTTGTATTATTTACCCACGTTAATGAATGCCTCCCAAAGCCAACGAGAATGCACACAGAGTAATGTAGTACTGAAAGCAGACTGGGGTCTTTTGTGCTCCAGGTCTTTGGACTTTGTATTTCAGTCTCTCAGCACTCAGAACAAGGCAATGCTGCTTTGGGGAGCCAATTATATAAATATTTGATGCATATTTTTCAACGACTCTCGTCACAGATACATTAATTAGCTAAAACATGTTCTGCTCCTGTATGTTACTTATATGGGGCTGAAAGGTAATACACAGCTCTTATAAAATTAAAGCTGAACAGGCAAGGCAAGCTTTTCAGTGATACCAAAGTGAATGTGATGAAAATATTGACAAGTTGATGAACTATTTAAGAGCAGATTATGTCTCCAGTTTAGAGAGGACTTTGGAGTAGTCTCAGGGGAGTTAGGTGTGATTCAATCAGCATTAAAATAATGCTCCATGATAAAAGGGGGTGATTGATGGCTTTGCTGTCAAAGCTGGAAAGTCCATACTATGAATCCTGTCTTTTAATGGTTGTGTTGTGACTTGAATAGATGAATGGGCAGACAGACCCACTCTGTGTATTTTAATTACCATCCAGACACTTAATGCTCAGATATGAGATACCTTAGTCAAAGTGGCTCCTAAGGGATTTAGGGAAAATTTAAAAGATGTACAAAAATCACCTGTGTGCTATCAACAATATTTATAAAGCTCCTGAGCCAGCAACAGTAAAGGCAATCAATTTTCCCTAGACTGGGAAATGGAGGCATCAATATCCTGAATTTC